CTTCTCACCAAACCCTATCCCTGGAAGTCAAGTCGACCATTAAAAAAATGGTTGATCTGGTTTTGTAGTGTAGTGTAAAACCCTTAGTAAAACCATGGTGGTTCGGGATTCAGGCTATTAAAACAATGGTGGTTCGACTTCTAGGGCCATGGTTTGGTTCGGAACCCAGTTGGGCGTCCACGGAGCATCTAGCAGCAGCACCTGTGCCAAGCTTCCAGCACCTGTGTTCATCCAAGCAATGCAGCACCTCTCTTGTTGCTCCTTTAGTGTTGACCCCCACCAGTCCACATCAGTCCATCTCCCCCCCACCCAGAGCCAATGAAGGACGGTGCAAAAGGAAGTAGCGCGAAGCCAGCACACTCATCCAAAAAACCACCAGCACCCGACTCTACAGGTCGCCGATGGCTGGAGGCTTGGAAAGGCCCGTGCACCGGTTTCAATTGGTGACCTGGCAGGTCTCGGTGCTGGAACAAAATTCCGGATGCCTGCGTATTGGTTGATCAACCAAAGCAACTTAAACGGTATTTGGTCGAACCTGGGGGGACGTCGAAGTCAGACGGACCGCGTGTCCTTCTGCTCCGGGGCCCCTAGGGAGGTTCAGCAACGCGAGGTTCTGGGGGATGGAAGATGCGAACCATCCGTGGACACGATCTGAACCATCCCAACCTCTCCGAAAAGTCGAACAGCGCACCTCAAAAACGAGGCACAGGTTTGAGCAAAACGGACGCCTCTCTTGGAGTCGTAGATGCTGGTAGAGTCGGATGCCCCCCCACCCGAAGCCTTCGCGAAGCCTGATCTCGCCTCGGCCCCAACACCCTGTTCGAGGCCCCGAACGGAGCTGATCCAAGAACTCCTCCGCCACCACCGGCAACGTGGGCGCGTCCTTCTTCGCCGTCTCCGTCTCCGCACGCGACGGTCTGGCGGCGCCTCGTCACGGCGGCTTGGTGTCGAAGTGGAGTGGAAAATCCACCTACTCAGGTGGAACAACCTCTTCCAGCACCAGGTCGACCTGCCAGGTCTCCGAAATGGTAGCTGAAATGGAGACTTAAAAGTGGACCTGGTGGTGACCTGTTGGAGGGTGCTGGTTCCGGTCTAGGAGGTCTAGAAAATCTACCTGCGCAGCGATGTGCCTGCGGCCCCCCCCGCGCCTGTGGTGGCACCGGCCTTTTCACCTGCGAACCAAGGCAAGAGGAACAGGGCCAGGGCCCGGGTCCAAGGGGAAGATCATCCTAAATGGAGACGAAAAGGACCCCCCAAAAGCCCTTCTGACTCTGCAGGTCACACCTGACTCTGCAGTGTCCCAGGTCTCACACACCGTATTCCATGTGTTTTCCATCCCTGAAAACCGGGTGCTCCGAGAAATTCCACCAGGACCTGTGCCCAAACGGTGGTGGTTTAGGGAACCAAACGGAGGGGTCGTGGCTGTCTTTCTAAGCCACCCTGAGAATACCAGGACCCGAGACCTGCCAGGTCACCAATGGTTCGACCTGAGACAGGGTCCAGCAACCCTCAACTAACAGCCTGGCCAGGAGGGTGCTGGTAGGGATCCCACCTTCGAGGTCGGGAGAAGGTCCGACCCTCCCATGAAAGAGCTCCAGCTCGGAGCCTTAGGGTAAAGCCCTATACCAGGACCTTCCACCAAGTCCGGTGGTTTCCTGGGCATGTTGTCTAGACACCTCGACTGGTGATTCGCTCCAAAAAGACCGTCCAAGATTGGCAAGGCACTGGCTTTTTTCGGCCGTGATGGCAGCATAGAAATGGTTGGTCTGTGAGGCAAGAAACTTTCGAAAGCCAAGTCTACTCGGAACTAACATGAAAGTGGAAGCCCCTCTGCTTTTAGAGGACAAGGGGCCATTTTCCACTTCCATGCTAGTTCCAGGGAGAATATTTATATGTAATATATTATCTCCCAGCTTTGTTCTCGATTGAAACCTGCAACTCTCTATAAAGTTCCAAGAGTTGCGTTGGAACCTCTCCCAAGTTCCACGCAAATCGGATAAGAACCTCGAAACCAAAGTCGCTCTCAAAACCCTCCGAGAGGTTCTCGGAACTTTGAAGTCCAGGTGACCAAACCCATTCATTTGATCCGCGCGTCGGCAGGCAGCAACTTTTACTCAACCAAACCTGGTCGACTCCTCCCCACAACAATGACATTGACCTGGACCCTCCTGGCCAGGTGTTTTCTGTGCCCAGGTTCACCACCTGTCAGGGTCCCAAAACAGCCTGGCTTTCACGGAGGGTCCTGGTTGAGGTGTTTCGGTCCAAGGAACAACGTCCTAAGCGTTCCTCACCCACCCAGACGCTCATGGACCCTCCTAAGTAGGGGTCCGGACCCTCAAATCCCTAGGGTTTTGAGGGACCAGTCGAGCTGTTTGGAGCGTCTGGGCACTTGGGTTTCTGTTGTTGCTGGACCAGAAGCACTCCATGCCGAACACGTTCCACACCGGCGGGCAGCCGGACGACCAGTTGTGTGAGTTTCGGGACGACCAGTCACACGACCGTTGTGCCACTCAGTTCGAAGAGTGGGATGGATGTCCGTGGCCAAATTTCATCAGGTCATCCTTCACTGCAGCCATGGGCAGCGCAGCTTCTGATCCCACCCGCAGGCAGGTTCATGATCCATTCAATCACGAAGAAGATGCCCTTTTAAACATATCAAAGAACTGGCAAATTCACCTCTTTTGACGGTCAACATATCAGTTGAAAGTCCCGTCAACCAATCCTTTAAAAGGGTATTTTAAGTGACCTGAGTTCACAAGTCTCAATGTTTGAAAATGGTCTAAAAGCTGATCTGAAAAGGCATGTCCTAAACACATCCGTGGTGCCAAAAAAAAGGTGGAACTGGACTTCTAGGGCGTAGGTCCTTCGTTCGAGTCAAGCCAGATCAGCTCCGATCAGGCTCCTTTATGGGGCCTCCTACTCAACTCTTTCAATTGTTGGGCCGCCTTTTTCTGTATGGTTTCCCTACCAGACAAGCCACCTTCTTCAAGCTCATTTTTTGGTGTCGCCTTGTCTGGTCTCCGAACAAGCCAACTCCAAGGATCGGACCTCCCCCCCCACCCCCGCTCCGAGGCCCGTGGCGCGAACCCCGAACGGCCGCGTTCGCCTGAAGGTTCCGCTGGTCCCACGGCGCCCAGCACGGCGCCTGGCGGTGCGGGCTGAGAGGTCGGGCCCAAGGGCGGCTGAGTCCCAGTCTTCTGACTTCCAATGGATGGGAACGACGGGAATTTGGTGGTCTAAAATCATTCAAGGGTTCAAGGGTCAAGACCATTATCAATATCAAAGCACTGGGTGCAGACAAATTTTCCAGCCCTAAGAATCCGGGCCCGAACCAACACATAGGGTTTGGTTCGGCCCCGGACCCCTGCGAAGGTGTCGGGTCCGACCCCTGCCATGGAGAGCCCAAGGATTCTTAGGTGACACTAGGATCGGGTAGATACCCCTAGACTTCCGTGAAAGACCATTAAAACAATGGGAACCACCTGGTTTTTGTAGTGTAAAGCCCTTAGTTGATTCAGGATTCAGCCTATTAAATTAATGGTGGGCCAGGAAGCCTAGGGATACCATTGGGAGAATCAACATCCCGAGTCCAGACCTTCTCCTGAGTCCGTCGGCGCCCCACATCCCTCGCAAGGAACGACCGGGTGGGTTGATAGATATATAACATCCCGTATACCAGCACCGAAACCCTGCCAGGTCTCCGATGGCTGGAGGCTTTTGTAGACTTTTTCTTTTGTAGACCTGGCAGGCGTCGGTCCTGGTACGGGCGTTTTGGGTTGGGTCAGGACCCCCACCCGAGTGCCCTCACGGCTGCTGAGTGATGGTCCCTGAGTGAACAGGTGCGCACTACTTCCGGCACCCCATGAGTTAGCTTGTGCCGCTCGAAACGTCATCAGCAAAGGCACAATTCCCAATGTGGGTCACCGAGTCTGGGATGGTCAAGTTGACCAAAGCTG